CGTCTGCAAATCGTTCCCTTAATAACTTAAGGAAGTCAGTGAGAGGAGTGAACGCAGAATAAGCAACTAAATCATCATTGCAGTTAGCGACGCGGCACAAGGAACGGGCGAAGCTTGCTGCTTTGTCTTGAAGGGCATGAATAGCTATCAGGGCATGCTCGTCCGGGGCAACTTTCTGTAGGTGCACGTTCGTCTTGACATTGGCTTCCCAATTGTCAAAGTTCTCCTCCTTCCCACTATAGGAGTCAGGGAACTTGACCTTGACCGGCTCCCTATGGGGACGTGTCTCCTCCTCCTTGGGAGCAGTCAATCTGGCGCCTTCTATGGCGCCCGTACAATAACTTTTCGTGCCCTCTAGGCGGGCCCTCACGTTTGAGCCCACCTGCGTTGCTAACTCCCTTGCAAAGTCCCTAAGTCCCAGCCGTATAGAGCGCACGACGATATCTTGACCTCTACCAAACAAATATTGCTCTTCCTGGACTTGTGCCAGGAGCTCTATGTTCCTCGCCATTATTTCCATCTTCCCCAACAGGTCCACCTGCGTCGCCATCTGCTCTCTTTGTTTCTTCACCTCCTCTAATTCCTTCGCCGCCCAACTCGCCGCCTCCGTTCTCCCTTTCCTCTCCCTCGTTAGTCGGAACTTCCACTCCATCCTCTTCTCATCTTCTATGGCCTGCCTCCTGAGTGGGTCTTCTTCTGCATCCCACTCTCTCAAGGCCGCCTCTTGTTCTTCCCTGGGCACATACATCAGGGCCTCCTCTTCTTCCCCCAGGGATAGACCAGCAACTCGCTCCGTAATCTTCTTCTCCAGATGGTCTTCCTTTGTTCCACTGGATTCTCCTCTTCCTCCTGCCTTGCGCCTTTCCAGTGGCTCTTCTTCTACCTCTTCCTCCTCTTCTACTGCCTTGTGCTTCTCTTCTTCTTCTCTCTTTAGCCACTCTTTTTCTCTGGCCATCTCCTCCTCGATCTTCTTCAACTTCGCCGCCTGTCCCTCCATCAGGGCCTTCTTCTTGGCCTCCTTCTACTCTCTTTTCTCTTTCAGGAGGGCGGCGGCTTTCGCCTCCTGTTCCGCTGTGTAAGGCTCAGTAGTTGTACCACCCCTCGTGTCTACTCTGCACGTAAAGGTGTTCGAGAATCCCAGAGGGAAGAGGAAACGCCAGAGGGTCCCCCACAGGGAGAACCCCACAAGCAAGCCGTACATAGGGTAATCGTCCATGGTGTTAGGTGCGCGACAGAGACTGTCCCACTCCTCACCACTTAGACCTACCCTCTAACTGACACGACCTACTAACTCAATCTAAGGACCACAAAATCTGGACTGGATCCTGTCAACTATGGTCTCTAGCCTGGACTCTAATTACTACAGCCGTCACTACAGAACCTGTTGCTGACTAGGAGGCATTTAAGGAGATCCCCTGTAACTCCTCAGGAATTCTTTAACGTCGCAGACAGGACGACGCGGTCAGCAGGTTCTCTCAAGACTTAGATGGCCCGTTGTGCAGCCCACAGCTCGGATTTTGGGCCTACCGTGGCACACCGAGCAGCCCGCCGGTCAGTACCGGTCCTTGGGAGGGTTCGTGTCCTCTGGGACAGTCGAGTCGTCAGACACAGTCTTTAGCCCTACTCAGCCCGTGTGGGTTTGGTCAACGAGGCCCTATCCTTCATACACGGAGTCCTATCACCTGGACAGAAGAGACTCAATGCAGAAAGAAGAGACAAACAAACTCAGACTCAGCAAGTACCATAGGCCCATAGGGTGAATGAACATCCATAGGGCGAGGGTATAGGTTAAGGGCTTGGCGAGATTATACCGACACCAGCTTGGTCCAAATCGTGGTCAACAGCTCCGGTCAACACCTTGGTCAACGCGATCAATGCCCGGTCAACGCTCCGGTCAACCCTCTGGTCAACGCACGGTCAACCCTCTGGTCAACGCACGGTCAACCCTCTGGTCAACCCTCTAGTCAACGCCCGGTCAACCCTTTGGTCAACGCCCGGTCAACCCTCTGGTCGGCTATGGCTGCCGGCACCTTCTTCCTCGCCACCCTTCACTTCTCTTTCCCCCTCCTTCACCTTTCTTCTCCGGTCTCTCCTCCCTTCTCCACTTCTCCTTCGTCAACCCCGTGTCCGAGCTCTGCGGCTATGGCCGCCACTCCCTTCTTCGTCGAACTGCACAACCAATCTTGTATCACTCAACTCTCTC